GACTCAGCTGGTCGAGCTCCGAGAGCATTACTCATATCTAGTACACGCAACCTTCAAAAGACAGTCATTCAGTCATGATATTGAAAAATAGAAAAAAAAAGATAGCTGACCTCTCCATTGGCTCAAATGGGTACCGTCCAGCATGCTTGATATCGTTATCTTTGAGATACAAAAATTGTACGGATGGGGTTCCTTTGAAGGTGTCAGAAGATATTTTAGTAATTCCATTTCGTGACAGGTTCATCAACGATAGACTGCGATGGTGTTCACCTAGAGTAATTTCAGCAAATGTAGATCATAGGAAAGTTTTCGAAGTCGGAGTAAAAATTTATCAACCTTCAGTGAAGAGACCGTCGGAAACATCCCCAAAGTTGTTCCCTGTCATCATCAATGTATCCATATGAGGAAACGCTCGCTCATGGATCTGGAAAATTCAGAATGCTTGTTTTCTGCAGGTCTGAACTATAAAACACCATCTTTTAGCTAAGTATTCAATATCCTTTATATAGACCGCCATTTTTTAGAAGATTTATTGCAAACCTTGCTCAGAAATCCAAGAACTGGTTTATAAGCACACTTTTTTTTAGGGTAAGCCTTCAACACGACTATAATTTTCGCATATTTTGCAGATTTTTCTAAAAATGCCAACCTATATTTTTAGTCGCCGACCTGCTGAAACACATCAGAATTTCTGAAGTGTGAATTCTCGCAGACGACATGTGTGGTATTGCAGACGCACCCAGGACGAGGACAGCTTGCTTCTTCTTGCGACGGATAGCGATAAACTGGAACAGATAGACTCCCGCATATTCGCACCAAGTAAGTACTTTTGTTCACAACAAGCTTTAACTCTGCAAATTCACAGCATTTTCGAATCTAAATTTGCTTGCACATGTATAAATCCCAAAACTTACGATTCCTACGCCGCAGCTACTTAACGATAGGCTGGATGAAAGTAGTTTTTTTTTATTGAGGTAGTGGTGTCCTGACTGCAGAAGTATGGGAACGCTTTTACATGTTACTCGAATATTTATAATAGAATTGCTCTTCATTTTATGTAAATATTTTCTTCGGTGGCATTTCCGATCTCCTCAGAAATTTCGTAAAATTAAAAATCCTGAGAGCATGGAAAACCCGCGCCTGTAAAATTTTTGCCAATAATACCCCGGAAACTTTTTGGGGAAAAAGCGACGAAAATTATGGGCTGGTATCTTTTGACAGATTACGGTACGCATTTTATTAGCAAGAATTACACAAAAGGCTATCAAACTCCTTGAAGTTTAACATCACAGTTGCTGCCATGAAGAAAGCTAAAATAACGATTGGAATTTCTTAGACTTTCCTTGGCGGCTACCCAAATGTCTTGTTCGTCGGTTAGTAGGATCAGAAAACCCTGTGCTTCCATCACAACTTTTTATCATGATCTGTTCAAGAGTATTCCGCACGTACAAAACGCAGATTCATACCAAGCTTCCTACGATGGAATACATTTACATCTCATGAC